CCCCCCCCGCCCCTCCCAAAAAACTTCTGACAAAATCAGGGGCTTTTTTTCCCCAAGGGAGGGGCATCAAATTTCCCCCCCACTTCCCCTTTGGCTCAACATAAAAACAGCCCGGAGGGTTAATTTTTTCAAAAGGGGAATTGAACTTTTTTTTCCCCGCTTTGGGGGCCCCCCCAAAAACAAAAAATTTGGCGAAAAAAAAAAACAAAAAAAATGGGGGGGGGGAGCCGGGCAGTTTCCCCTTAGACGCCCCCCGGGGAAAAAAAAAAAGGGGGGGGGGGGGGGGGGGGGGCGTCACACTCATCCAGGAAAATAAGTCACGCTACCTCAGCCAGGCGGAGAAACCGTACGTTGTTTTGTTTTCGCCAACCGCCCAGGGAATGCAAGCGCAAAGAGCCATCCACGCATCGCAACCAGTTGGTCCTCATGATTTCTGCTCACAGCAACCTGTTGTAGCGGAACACCACCACGTGTAGCCCTAGCCACACCAGTGCTTCGACGTACTCAATTGGGTAACGGCAAACAAGGGCGTTGGTGTCTCCAAGAGTGAAGATGGCACTTGGCATCAATCCATGCGATACAAACAACGAGGTGCCCCGCAGAATCATTTCACCCCCCCTGTCCCCTCCCTCTGTTGACCCCGACAAGAGCTACAAGCCAAGCAACCAACGCACCAACCATCCGCTCCTTCTCTCGACCTCCCTCCAAGAAAGCAAGACGACAAACGAACCCTTGTCTCCTCACCACCCTGCGTCACTCTCCGGGGCAACAAGAGCCCCCCATGCCAAAACACGCCGTTACAGGAAAATTGACGTCGAAACAAACCCACGCAAGATCAGAGGGGAGGGGAGAAAGAAGCAGCGAAGCGAGAGAGAAGCAGCCTAAGCCTTCTCCGTCGGCGCAGCCTCCTCCGCACCCCTATTTAAAAAAAAAAAAAACGAGGGAAGCAAGCAAACAACAACAGGGAGCAAATAGCGAAGGAGACCAATTGTGTTTGGAATGTTCATGTCTCTCGTATGCCAGTGTTGTGGTCGCGACTCTCTCCCTCTCTAACTATAGTGTTGGTTTGATGCATACATTTAACTTACGTACAACCGCCACGTCTAAGTAAGAAAAAAAAACGTTCGAGGAGGTAACGCAACACGGGGACTCAGTTGCAGGAAGAAAAAGAAACATCTTGAAATGACAAACAAAATCGAACCAGTAGCACAGACATATATTGTTCACGTTCCTACTCAAGAGGCAAACGAGTTTATTATGCTGTTGGCCGATAGTATGAAACTTGGATTCCAGAAACCACGATGTTCTACAAGACATTTCAGGAAGGGACTCGTTGTACCGTACATGATTGTAGTTGGACATAAAAAGCAGACGTCGTACTTAACCACGAAAAGAAACACCAAAAATAAAGGAGAGGCATGACGAAATTCCAACGCACAAAAAAAAAACACTCAAACCACAGTGAAAAACAAACCCAGCCTGGGTATTGTAACAGGACTCACGTTCCAACGCTAAGGTTCTGGAGAGCATCTGCCGCCGCATCTGTGCTAGGGTCCGCTGCCGCCTCCTCCGTCGCCGGCGCCGCCTCTTCCGCTGTAACCGTCGGCGAAACGGCGCAAGAAAATCAATTCAACCGACACATACGTGCGAGAGGACCGGACACGACACGGCGGTGTATTTGGACGATGAAACAAACGTCTTACGAGGGCGATCCGGTACACATTTTGTTGCGATTTGATGCTCAAGTGGTTTATGGCTTCGAAAAACGCAAAACGTGCGGGCTCTGTAAGTCGCAGACGAAGAGCTTTCGGAACGATAGATGCTTCCTTTAGGGACATCAAGGGCGGCCAACACGGAACCAAGCCAGCACCAGCTTCTCCCGCCCGCCCCCTTCCGTTTTCAGCTCGGAAAACCATGAACGCTACTCTCTTGAAATACTAGGGGGGCCTCCGAATAAGAAACAAAAGCCTTCGGCCCCTGCTCCCCGAAAACGTTTCAAGAGACCGCACAAAAAAAGCAGATGGGTCGCAGGACGCGTCCGACAGTAATCCCCCACTCTCCTCCCTCTCCGAAACCATTCAATATTCCCGAAACAAAACACCAAAAGCTTAAGTTACCCTCTGCCGCTGGTTCCGGCGCTTCTCCCGCCATAAGACCCTCCACCACCTTTTGGGCCGCCGTGAATTGCTGGGTTATATTTTGTTGTTGTCGTAGACCAATCGGACGGCGAGGAGAAGGAGGAGGGGGGAGAATGAGAAAGAGGGGAGGGGAGACGCGGGTGTGATTCAAGGGTACTACTACCACACACGCCCACCACAACGAATGATGTAGATTACGGCTGTACGCCAGCGTACGTGCAGCACGGCAGCCTACAACATCGTCGTGCGAGAGAATTCTTGGATATTCGTGACACCAAGCTGAAGCCGGTCGTGGCATTTCGTGTGCGAGGGGGGGGGGGGGGGGGGGGGGGGTTTTCTTGGGGTGCTTCCGGTGGTGGTTGGCCCTTTGCCCTCGCTCCCCTAAAAACCCGGGCGGGGGCCCGGGGGGGGGGGGGGGGGCGTGTGGCATCAGGTACCGTACCTCTAGAAAGAGCGTAGATTAGTGTCAGTATGCGCACCGTCATCATCATCGCATCATCATTGAAACAAACGAAGAATCACACGGGAATACGCTCTTGAGGGGAGGGGGGGGGGGTCTCTCACGTTATGCACCATCATCATCGCATCCTTTGACAATACGGAAGTACGCTCTTGAGGGGAGGGGGACGCTCACGTTTACGCTTCCCGAAAGCTGGCCGGCGGCGCTCTCCCACTCGGGCTCGAGCTTCTTGCAGTGGCCGCACCAAGGAGCGAAGAACTCGACCAGCCACATCTCGTCCGAGTCCAGCACCATCTCCTTGAAGTTATTCTCGGTCAGATCGACTACGGCCTTGCCGCCGGCCTTCTTCCTCGACCTGGTGGCCATCACCAAGACGCAGCAGCAGCAGCAGCAGCAGCAGCAGCAGCAGCAGCAGCAGCAACATCGGAACGTGTGCGAAGAAATTATCAGCACCATCGCACACGGACACGGAACAGAGGTTTGTGCCACGTATCCGAGAAGGTGTAGCAACCCGCGTCGCCATCTCTGCCACGCCCGCGACACACATGCCTCTCGATCATGTGGAGATAACCTATAAAAAATAGTCATGTCTCCCCCAACGTCTGCCTGTCCAGGATGGGGTCCCTCTTTTCACCATTGGTGGTATATAGAAACTTACGCATTCAAATGGTCTTGGAGTCCCTCCCGCCCCCCCCCCCTCCCACGGCCCTTTGTGAAACTCCCGTACACGACAGGAACAAAAACAACCAGCAACAACGTAAGCGGCAACTATAATATTGTCTACTGCTGCTGTGTACTTCCAACTACTATCTACAAACGCACCCCCCAGACGACCCCTTGCTGCCACCGCTGTCGGCCTTCCTGTCCTTGGTCGCCGACGGCTTCTTCTTCGCGCCTCCGCCCTGCCTCGACTTCACCAAGTCCCTGGCGGCCGCCATCCCGCCCGTCACGATCGCGGTCGTGGTGCGCTCGCCGTTGAAGTCGGTGGGGTTGCGCTTGTCCGCGCCGAAGACCTTGATCGAAGGGAAGCCCTGGAGCAGATCGCAAATAGGCACGATACATGAGGTCAGGGGGGAAGACAGGGGGGGGGGTACTCATAGTCGTGCATGCCGTAGTCGTTAGACCATTGACCTCGCATCCCTACAAAGCCGGGACGGAGCACGCCGCCATTGACCTCGCATCCCTACAAAGCCGGGACGGAGCACGCCGGGTTCTCACCGGACCAGGCTCTCACATCACCAAGCGCGAAGCGCCGTGAGGTATTCGGCGAGTCGCGTGAAGGGTGAGCTGCATCCTGCTCAGGGTGTTCGGCACCTTGTGCTTACTTCCTTGCGTACGGATGACAGCTGCGTAAATTTATTTTCTGGTGCGTTCACTTCCAGAGACAGTTGTAAGCACTGTGTAACTGCCTCGAGGAAGCTTGACCATTTTAACACAACGTGGTGCGATCATCCCCCTTGCGCGGAGTGAGGTTTCTCCACCCCGCACAACATGATCTACTTGACCACCATTATGGTTACCGCCAAAAAAAAAAACAGAGGTAAAAAAAAAAAACGGTAACCTGGTTGCCGAGTTCACGAAGTGAATTGGCTTCTTTTACAACGTCGTTGCCAAGTGACGAAAACCCAATCCCGATGGCAAACACCGAGGGGGGGGCTTGTTTTACAACGTCGTTGCCAAGCGACGAAAACCCAATCCCGATGGCAAACACCGGGGGGGGCGGCTTGTTTTACAACGTCGTTGCCAAGCGACGAAAACCCAATCCCGATGGCAAACACCGGGGGGGGCGGCTTGTTTTACAACGTCGTTGCCAAGCGACGAAAACCCAATCCCGATGGCAAACACCGGGGGGGGCGGCTTGTTTTACAACGTCGTTGCCAAGCGACGAAAACCCAACCCCGATGGCAAACACCGGAGGGGGGGGGGGGGGGGGGGACTT